ATTTTGAGATAAAACAAGCAATGCGAAATTCATGTGTCTTGCATCATTTGAGAGTCAAATCCTATATATTTTTTTTTTTTGACATTGATTTTATTTTTTGCTACATTAAAAAAAATACACCTTTCATATTTATTGTATCAGAGAAGTGATACATGAATCATGTTTGTTGCATCAGACAAAAAATTAAAAATGCAATAGTAGCAATAATCCATTTTTATAAGTTTTGAAGAATTTCTAATATAGCAAATTTTAAATGTCAAAAAATTTTTTTTACTACATCAGAAAAATGATATGTGATTCGTATTTATTATATTATTTTTTTTCACCTGAAATATTATTTTTTTTACTTCAAATATATTTGATATAAAAAAATCCAACAAAAAATTTAGTATATCAATAAAATAGTTAAGACAGAAAAATATATATTATTATAAGCTTAAAATATTATTAGCTTAAGTTCTGAATAAATGAAAAGTTGAAACAAAATAAATCTAATGAATCTGTCCTTGGATTTTTGATATAATTTTTTTCTCAATACTGTAAAAAATATTTAGTATAATTTTTTCTCAATATCACAAAAATATTAGATATAATTTTATTTAATATCATAAAATATTAGATATAATTTAATAATAGATATAAAAAAATATATATGAAAATAAGTTTCAAATCAATTTTTAAAAATTTTCTGTTCTAGAATATTAAGCATTTTTCTAAATTTGTCAAGAATAAAATTATTTAACATAATAATTTTTAACATGAATTTTCCAAGTTTCAGGTATAGACTTAGCAGGTTTACCATACACTTTACAAGGTAAATTTTTTTTACATATCAATATTTATGATACCCTTTAGATCAAAAGCATCTATGCTTGTAAAGTTTATCAGAGTTGTATAAATATTCACCAAGTATTTCCAATAAATTTATATAACTGAATTAATTTTTTTAATTTAAACAAAAGATCTGAACAATTAATAAAAATACTTGATTTGCTATACCTTTATTAAAATAATACCACCTTACTTGAGATGTGAAAAAAATAATTTTAAAAAGTCTCAAGACTGAGATATACACATAAATCAAAAATATTCATACAAACCTCAAGTTAATTAGGGAAAAGTAAATATTAATAAAACTAGTACAAAAAACATCTTTAAAAAGATACATGAAAATTTAATCAATGAAAAATTCAAGCATTTGGGTATGATTACTGGAGATAAAGAAAAAAAAATAATTTTCAGATGACAAATTTTAGGTATGATACTAAAAAAACAGGTAGTAGTAATTCATAATACAAAAGTTTTTAAGTTTCATTCAGACAATGGAAATTATATAAGAAAAATATTAGAGAGTTAAAGAAAAGTAATTAAGAAATTACTTGAAAAAAAATTTGATAATCATGATCAATTTAAGTTTGCATTATGTTCTTTTATAAAATTTTTTATAAATAACAAATCAAATAATAAAACCAAGAAAAATTTGAGAACTGACTAGTTTAAAAATAGGTAGATTATAGTATATAATTGATCAGAAATATATGACTACTTAAGCAATGCCTTTGAACAAATCTTATATCAAGTAGAGAAAAGAAGAAGAAAGTCTAATGCTTAAAAATATATTTAGGTGGTAAAATTGTATCTGGTGAAACAATTTGAAGGTGCTCTTTTATAAAAAAATGTTTTGGTCCATTATAAAGTTTAAAAAGAACAAGTTGATCATTTTTAATCAAATATGAATCAATTATAAAAGTTTCAAGAAACCAATTTATATCAGTTACTCTATACCTCTTCCACTCTAATTCTTCAAGTTTCAAAAGATAACGAACTTCTGTATAACTAGATAAAAGAGGTTTATTATATTTTACAAGTTTTCTATGTTTTACAGCTGGATTCGTAAATATTTTTTTACCTTTTAATACTCTTTTTACAACTTCATTAGATGGCATATGTATTAACCAAATAACAAAATTATTAAAAGTATTATCATTTAAGTAAAGGTCTTTAATATAATTTGGGTATACATCAGACATTGTAAATGTAACAAACCAAGTGTTTTTATTAATTGTTTAGATTTTTTGTTTAAATTAAAATAATTCAGTTATATAAATTTATCAGAAATACTTGATAAATATACTTGTAAATATTTATACAACTCTAATAAACTTTGTGAGTATAGATGTTTTTGACCTGAAGAGTGTCATGAACATTGGTATACAAAAAAACATTTACCTTGTAAAGTGTATGGTAAACTTATTGAATTTGCATCTGGAACTTGTAAAATTCATGTTAAAAATTATTATGTTAAATAATTTTATTCTTGACAAATTTAAAAAAAATATTTGATATCCTAGAACAAAAAATTTTTAAAAATTAGTTTAAAACTTATTTTTATATATATTTTTTTAAATCTACTATTAAAATTATATCTAATATTTTACAATATCAAATAAAATTACATCTAATATTTTTACGATATTGAGAAAAAATTATACCTAATATTTTTCGTAGTATTGAAAAAAAAATTATATAAAAAATTCAAGAACAGTTTTTATTAGATTTATTTTGTCCCAACTTTTCATTTATCCAGAACTTAAGCTAGTAACATTTTAAGCTTATGATAATATATATTTTTGTCTTAACTATCCTATTAATATACTAAATTTTTTGTTAGATTTTTTTATACCTAATATATTCAAAGTGAAAAAATAATATTCCAGATAAAAAAAAATGACACAACAAATACGAATTATATATTATTTTTCTGATGTAGTAAAAAAAATTTTTTAATATTTAAAATTTGCTATTATTGTTACTGTTACATTTTTGATTTTTTGTCTGACACAACAAACATAATTCATGCATCACTTCTCTGATACAGCAAATATGAAATGTGTATTTTTTTTGATACAGAAAAAACAAAATCAATGTTAAAAAAAAAATATATAGGATTTGACTCTTAAATGATGCAAGACACATAAATTCTGCATTGTTTATTTTGTTCCAAAATCTCTAATTTGATATTGTATAAATAATATTTATAAAAAAATTGGAGTTAAAAAATCTTTTATTAATGTAGCAAATAAAATAAAAAGATTAAATTAGGTTAAAATAAGAAAAGATTGGGTAAATGAATGGAAAAACATTATTTGAAGTGATGAATTAAGATTTGAAGTATTTGAAGAAGATAGAAGAAAATATGTTTATAGAAATTCTCAAGAAAAATATGATTCAAAATGTCTTATATCAACTTTTAAATCAGGATAAAAAAATGTAATGGTTTGGGGTTGTTTTACAAAAAATATACTTGGACCATTAGTTAGATTAGAAGATAGAATAACAGCAAAAATATATATAAAAATGTTGAAAAAAAAATAAATTCCATTTATAAATAGTTTAGAAATGGTAATAATTATATTTTTAAGAAGATAATGTTCCAATTCATATTGCAAAAATAGTAAAAAAATAGAAGGAAGATAATAATATTTCAAGTCTTCCATGACCTGTACAAAGTTTAGATTTAAATCTTATAAAAAATTTATGAAATGAATTAGAAAGCCATATAATCCATTATCTAAAAATAAGGATAATTTATAACAAATTTTACAAGAAGAATGGTTCAAACTTGAAAAAGATAAATATAATAATCATGTTAATAGCATATCAAATCGTGTTGCTGCTGTTATTGAAAGTAAAGGTTATCTTACAAAATATTAATAAATAAATTATTATAACAAATTGAATTAAAAAGTTCTTGAAATAATTATTAAGTTTGTTACATATAAAAGTATTTTATTTATTTAAATACTAATAAAATAATACTAAGTAACATTAATAATAAGAGTATATTGCATCTTGTGTAAAGTATTCAGAGTTTTTTAATAAAAAGTGTGTGAATAATGAGTAATTAAATTTCAAAGAATAATTTTTGAATACCCGGTGTTCACCCATTGATATTAAATTCAATATATAAATAAAAATTCTATAACTTCACAAACAATGCTCACCATTATTGACTATAAGATTAATTAGTAACAAATTTGATAGTTTATTAATAAATAATAAACTTTTATATGTAGTTTCTCTTAATAATTATTTTCGGATTTAAAAAAAATTCAATGTCGATCATTTATCTTTGATATTTTTTAAAAAATCTGAAAAAATATTGAAAATAATTATCGAAAGTTTTTACATATTAAAGTTTACTATTTACTAATTAACCATCAAATGTATAACTAATTAATCTTATAGCCAAGAATGGGGAGCATTGTTTATGAAGTTTTTAGAATTTTTTCTTACGAATTTAATTTAATATCAACAGAACTTCAGACGTTCTGAAATTATTCTCTTTAATTTAACTGCTTATTATTCGCTCACATTTTATTAAAAAAAATCCGAATACTTTCCACAAGATACAATATATTCTTAGCTTTGATTTTACTTAGTATCATTTTTATTATCATATTAATAAAGAAAATACTTTTATATGTAGAACCATTGATAATTATTTTCGGATTTTTTTTATTTTTTAAAATTTTTTAATAAATTTTGGCCATTTTCGTTAACGTCTAATTAAAGTCAAAAATTTCACTAGATACTATGAAAAATGTTTCTAATTAAAGTTGTAGACATTGCTCTTGGCTACAATTTCATATAAAATAGTTGGTATTTATCTTTAAAATCCATCGATTCCGGTATGGGTAACGTTCAAAGATTAAATTTATTATTTTTTGTCAATTTTATTTGAAGCGATGTACGGACATTCAATTTTAACACAAAATATATCATATGATAGCCCTGGTTTAGGGGAATCTAATAAAAAATAGCTTTCGCAAATTAGATCACTCGTTGTGGTACAGTTAGCATTTTAATTTTTTAAAAATTTTCAACTGTCCGGTGATTTTTGATCACCCACTGTATGTCGTTGATCGGTAAATCAAAAAAATTTTTGAATTTTCTCGATAAAAAACATTTTTTTTTTCTTATTTCAAAAAAAAAGTAAAATGTTCGAATCAAATTTATCATTTTCACAAATTATTTTAAATTCACCTAAATTAGTTTGGCATGAAAAATATGTTCCTTTGAAAATTTTAAATACTTTACATGCGCTTCAAATAAACTTAAATTATAAGAAAAGTTTAAAAGATAGTCCAATATCTTGGTTACAAGGTTTATTTGCCGTAATAGTTATGAGTGTCGGAGGAAGTACTACTAGTGGTAATATTGAATTTATTTTAATTAATTAATTAATTAATTAATTAATATTAAATATAAATATAATATCTTAAAAGTAAAATATCTAAAGTATAAGTCTATTTTGGTTAGCAATTCTTTGTGGAAAGGCACCTCACTGGCTTGCTTCTAATACAACAATAACCACATATCTGTAAGTTTTATCTTGTATAGAAAATAATTAGAAATTCTAACTCTTGATTCATTCTTTTTTCTTTATCTCTTTATATCTCTCTCTTTACGTATATATATATATATTATATTATACCTTTATATATTTTATTGTAGTATAATTTATTTCTTAATATTTTATATTCCATTCTTTCACCGTTTTTGCAATTCAATTCCAAAAATTATTCTCGATCCAATTCTTTTAATAGCTGATGGTATCCTTCGAACTAGTTCAATATATTCAATAATTGATAATATTCTTTTCGAAATGAATGATGAACCATTATTAAAAAATAGTTGGGTAGCTATATTACTTTGTGGAACTTTAAGTGGTTGTGGAGGGAGTATTTGGGTATCAGCTTTTCAAATGAAATCTCCTAATTGGTCATTCACTACTCCTTCCACTTTCTTAGAACCAACTTATGATATGAAGATAAGTTTCATGATTACATTGTTTTATGCATCAATAATTTCTTCTTCTTCCTGGATGATATTTCAAAAATTTAATTTAGATGATTTAGATCAAGGAAAAATATGGGCTATTATAGGAATGACAGGATTGAATTTGATTAAATTGAAAGATACCTTAAAAAAAGATAACAACAACAATAATAATAATAATATACAAAAAACAAAAATGTTATAAAAATTTTATATATAATTTAATGAAAATTTATTGTTATGAAAGTAATTATACATGGATTTTGAATTAAATATACATTCTAAAGGGTTAAACAAGGAATATATATATATATGTAAATAAATATATATATATATAAATACATTAGTGAAAGAAATTATTATTTTTTTTTTAAAAAATCATAAATAATTGATCAACCAAAAAAACATCAAAGTTTCAAAATGTTCGGCAACACTCGAATGTCTTAAACCATGTCGTTCAGTTGGATAAGGTTGAAACATATGTGGTTTATTATGTTTCACTAAAGCCGAAACTAATAATTCGGAATGTTTAAAATGTACATTCTCATCGATTTGTCCATGAGCGATTAAAAGTCGATGTTCACTTTTAATTAACAAAATATTAAATTAATAAATATTATTAAATTAATTAATATTATCAAATTATTTATTATTATTAAATTAATTATTATTATTATTAAATTAATTAATTAATAATTTTAAATATAATTGTAATTAAATAATAATTATATAACATACTCATCTGGAAATTTATTAACCCAAGTTAAAACGTTTCCTTTAAGGTAACCATCAACATTTTCATCAGGAAGTCCCATATATCTTTCAGTATAAGCTGTATCGTACAATTCCCATTGGGTCACGGGTGCACCGGCGATTGCTATTTTAAAAAAATGGGGATATTGTGCAAGTGCCATTAAACTAAGATATCCTCCATAACTCCAACCAGTTATTGCTACTCTTTCTAAATCAACTCCTTTATTATTTGATGATAAATATTGTAATCCTGCTATTTGATCTTCTAATTCAACAGTTCCCATACGCCCTTTTAAATATGATTCAAATTCTATACCTCTCTCTGATGATCCACGTCCATCAATAAGTACTACTGAAAAACCAAGTCGAGTAGCAAGAAAAAGTCGAAGGAATCGTGGAAACTTGTAATCATTAGTAACCAACTATTAAATTAAATTAAATTAAACTTAAAAAAAAAAAAAAAAAAAAAAAAAAAAAAAAAAAAAAAAAAAAAAAAAAAAAAAAAAAAAAAAAAAAAAAAAAA